GGGGGGGGGGGCTGGAATGGTATCATAAACAGAAAAATGGAAGGAGGATCATGCATATTCATTTGCATTCATCACATGGATGGCATGTTGTAGAGATTAGGATTTGAAGTCCACAACAAATTTGAATTGATCACAGCTTTGGACTGAGTCTTGAGGATGATTTTTGTGATTTAGATTGGCTGCTCTTCTTCAATAGTAAAGCCATGCTGCCCAGTATGATTGGCTTATACTGACCTTCCACCACCACCACCCTTCCCAAGCTTCTGTCTTCATCAGCAGAGTGAGAGTGATGAGGGAATGACTGCTGATGATGATGATGAGCTGGCAAAGTGTCATGCACCTCACTGATGCAAGCAAAATCAAGTGCCATGTGAAGCCCGTTGTCCATGAAATCCACTGTCTCGCCTTCTTTTCTCTTATTTAAACATGACGGTACACACACACTCAGATGGAGTGTGTGCCATCCATCCCATGTCAGCAAGATTTCTTGCTTGGGGCAATGATACAAGCTAACGAGGAGCGACGCTGTCTCTGCCCTGTGCTTTCATATTTGTGAAGTGAGCAGTCAGATTTCCTGATGATGTGCTTGTGTTTAAACACATGTGGGTGGCAGTGAAAGCAGAAAGGGGGCACTGATGAAGGGTTGACTAATGTATGATATTTCAGCTCTCTGTCTGTGAATGTCTCCTTGTGTGTCTCTAAACAGCTCTGTTCCACATGACCTTCCCTGGCCTTTCATTATGTGTTTGCTCTGTGGATTAAAATGGGAGGAAAGCACAATATCTAGCTAATATTTATGTCGGGAGCTTACCCATCGTTGAGTTCAATCCCCAGTCGCAGGCAAATCAGTGGGGATGATAGAGCGAGAAGGGTGAGGAAGGAAAGCTTTAAGGGGAAAGAAGTGGAAGGATGGTGGAGAACAAAAAGGGAGTGTGAGCGCTGTCTCTAAGCAACACTCTGCACAGGGAGGGAGGGAGAAATATACACAAGGGAGGGAGGGAGGGAGGTTGTCTCTGCATAGCAGCAAACTGCACTGGGTCACCCACCCTCTGCTGCAGCTGTGGCTCCATGCCACCAGCATAAAACATTTACGTACATCCCAAAAAATGGCCAGAGAAAAACAAAAAAGCATCAAATCACTGTAAAAATGTAGGTTTAAGATGGTTGAACAGCTGCAAATGATAGAGAACTGTTCAGATTGAGACAAAATAACTATTTACATCTGATAAGTTTGTAATTCACAGAAGTTCGGATCATTAATAAAAAGGGCTGCATGAAAATGAGGCTTCGTATATGTTGAGTAGATTTTTTTTACTGGAAAGCTCTCATCCAGATCGAGTATTATTTTTAGATTGGTAAAAACAAGTAAGTGGGGATGAACTTTCATAATTAAAGCCTCAGAAGGTTTGTCAAGTAAGCTTCCTTACAGCTCAAAATTTGATTTAAAGAGTTCTGCAAGTTATGATAACCAACAGTGCGACTCATAAAGAAAGATGCGGGTAAAGATAATGGATGGATGGATGGATGGATGGATGGATGGATGGATGGATGGATG